CAAGGAAGACAACTTTGGCTGCATTCCGGACGAAACAATGTCTTCTGCCCAAACTGAATTCTCCTCGCTGCTTGAGGCCCGGTACCAAGATGGCAAATCTTTCGGGCTTGACGGGCCCCTGAACCCGACAATCGAGCTTGTACTGCGTCGCAAATCACATCGCAAATTCCTCCCGACCCCTCTCGCCCCGGGTACGCTCGAAAGTCTAATCGCTGTTGGCTCCAGCGCTTCTACATCATCCCTCCTCCAGACCTGGGGCGTCGTGGCCGTTCAAGACTCGGAGCGCAAGAGCAAGTTGGCTACGCTGGCCGGCGATCAAGACTTCATCCGCCAAGCACCTCTGTTCTTAGTCTTCGTCGCCGACTTGCATCGTATCAGCAAAGTCTGCGAAAAAGCCGGGACGAAGGACGCCGGGTTAGAGAAGCTGGATATGTTCATCATGCCGACAATCGATTGCGCCCTCGTAGCGCAAAACATCAGCATCGCGGCGGAATCTCTCAATCTAGGAATCTGCTACGTTGGCGCTGTGAGAAATAACTGTGCCGAAGTCTGTGATTTGCTCAGGCTTCCGCATCGCACGGTTGCGTTGTTTGGCATGGCCGTCGGCCACCCGGATCCTACTGAGCACGCCTCTATCAAGCCTCGCCTCGGGCTGGATGCCGTTTTGCACCACGAGGTTTGGAATGACGAGGATGAGAAGGAGCGTTTGGAGTCGTACAATAAGGCTTTGGGTACTTTTTATGAGTCTGAGGGCAAGTCAGGACGAAGAACGTGGACCGAATTCACTTCACGATACTTTGAGTCCGGCAATCTCGATGGCCGCGAGAAAATGCGCGAAGTCATCATGCAACGTGGTTTCCACATTCAGTAAAGCAACATTATGTACTTGACTATACTTAGATTAAACCAAAAGCCTTTACTTGTTGAACAAATCCTCTATATTGAGTTCTTTTTCATACTTATTTTTAAGTAACAATCTTATTTGAATTAATATTTATAATATTAAGATAAAATTACACATTTTTATTGAATTATAAATGATATTTATTAACAATTAAATTTTGACATTAATAAAGACTGAAAACATATACTTAAATATTCGTATCAACTGACTATCTAGGTATGCTCACCCCGATCCCCCGCGGATACGCTGTCCTTAAAGCGGCGGGTAATATGGGCACCCTTAACACCGCGGTAGCACGCCTCTAGGTGGCTTGTACATTCGGCTAATGGGACTTCTGAGTGGGTGCATGTGCCAGGCTTCCATCTTTCTCCCAAGTCCCTCCTGCTGCAAGTTCGGTGCGGTACCACAGCTGCTTTCCCACCCCACGCTTCCATTCTTCACGACACGAACCGGTCACTTTTGCCAAACCAGGCTTCAACCTTTTCGCACAGCGGGGTGCCCTGTTCTTGTACATACCTGGCTTCTAATCATTTTGCCTTTCCTGTACCTCATCTAATCAAGCTTACGATAGCTTCTATGCCAGTATACTTTCTTGTCTTTTGCTTACCTACGTTGTGGGGCTCTATACCGCATACCTTAGAGTCCGCGGATATATTCGAACGTCTGCGTACAGGACTGGGTATATTATGGAGCAGTGACCTATCCCTTGTCTTTGGGTTCCAGAACACGCAAAATAAAAAAGAGCCAAGGCGGATGGGTGACGGACGGATTCAAGACTCAGCCCACTTGACCGCGCACACCCTTGAGGCCCAGCACACTTGCCTTGCCAGCCTGACCCTTCTTATGAACGCTGTGTCCCCCTCCCCCTCCTCCGAAACACCTTCAAGCGGCGCAGGAAACGTCACTTCACTACCTCAACACCAAGACCTTCAATAAACTCACCTCAACTTCTTTCTTCGAGCGAGCACGTCGATCGCTAATACAGCCGTCGAACGCCGCCCAACATGCTCGACGAAAACCTACCCACCTTCCACTTCCGCCCCTCCTCCGATAACCCTCAGAACACCATTCTCTACTTCACTCACCAAGGCTCCGACCCAGTGCCAAATTACGTTCTCAAGCGTGCTGACCCCGCCAACCCGGTCGCCCGCAACAAGTACGCCGCTGCTCTCACCGACATCGCTTCCCAGCAAATCGTCTACGCCGAGGTCCTCGTCGAGCCGGAATGGACGCAGCCGACACTCTCAGCCGCCGAGGTCCGCGTCCAAAATGGCACCCCGGCCCCGCCACAACCCATCTTGCCCGACCAAGTCACGCTCCAGCTCTACAATCCGGACTCGCAGGTCGTCATCAAGATGAAATCCGGAAGCTGGGGCAAGTCCGACAGCTGGGAGTTTGAGATGCCCGAGCAGAGCTTCCGCGCACCGAGCGCCAGCCTGCTCGATCGATCCTCTGATGATCCACCTATTAGCGATACCGTCCCCAAGGTCGTGTTCCGCTGGAAACGAGACGGCAGATTAAGCAAGGATATGACGTGCTACATGGTCGGCAAGAGCGTCGCTGGCAAGAAGAGCAAAGAGCCTGATATCACGGTCGCCATGTTCAAGGACACAAAGCACGAGAGCGCCGTAACCATCTACGAGCCCAACCTGCAGCGTGTGGACGTGGAAGACCGCAAGGGACTGGACATTGTCCTGCTACTCGGCGCCGAGGTTCTCCGCGACCTGTTCCTGAACCCCAGACAGAACGTCTTCAACCTGACGGCGACGCCGCCCCCCACGACCGGTCGGCGCAAGAACTCCAAGCCACCCGCAGCTGCCATGTCCGGCGCCATCGGCAACAAGCCCGCCTCGCCCCCTGCACAATCCATGAACAATGGTCCTCCCAGGCCCAATGCTCGCCAACAGTGGGAGATCGACAACGAGACCAAGCGTCTACAGGCCATGGTAGCACAGGAAGAGCGGCAGGCGCGTGAGCGCGAGCGACGGGACGCTGAGGAAGCGAAGCGCATCAAGAAGATGCTCGATAAGGAGGAAGCCGACCGCCGACGCAAAGAGGCCGAGATCGAGGCCGAGACGGAGCGACTTCGCAGACTCTATGGCGTCCCGCCTAGTCAGTCGAACCCGAATTTACCACCGCGCCATCAGCCGCCGCCCGGAACCACGCCGGGCTCGTGGCACGTGGCGCCGGCGCAGCCACCGCGGCCCAACAGCGCGGGACCGTATAACGGGCCCCCGGGGACCAGTGCGTATCGTCCGCAGGTGCGATTTGCGCAGCCGCCGCCGACGATGAGTGGTGGTGCGTCGTCTCAGCCGCAACAACAGCAACAGTCGCAGTCGCAGTCGCAGCAGGCCGGCCGTGGGAAGCTTCCGAACCTCATGTCGGGACTGCTTCAGGGACCTTACGCGAACCCGGCTGCCAGCGTCAGCAACTTCTTTCATCGGGACCGGTCTGAGGAAGAGGAGAAGAAGCGAAAGGTCGCTAAGAAGAGGAGTGTGCATTTCTGAAGGAGTACTGTAGTCTCATAGGATGTGCGGAGGGGTATCAACTCCCCTTCTTCACTCTGCCGATGTCGGTAGCATCTTCTTTTGGCGTTTGGAGGGATTGTTCGAGCATTCGTTAGCATCTGCCATGTACCGGTGGCCTACAGGGCTAGCATGGCATGTCTTTTCACATTTATCGGCGTCAGGAGGGGATTTCTCTGGACGGATATACCATGTATCAGTATTTGGGCATATAGAATCACGAATTTTATGATCAAGGCATTTCAACTTTCTTTTGAAAATCGTGTGTCGTATGGGTAGCTAGTGAAATGTACTCTACTGTTCTAAAGCTGCGAAGATGATCATCTTTGAGGCTGTGGAGATTGACGTGAAGGGTTCGCGGCTTCTCCATGAAATCATCATGTATCTATACCTTGAACTTCCGGACATCGCTGCCCAGAAGACCATCACCGAGTCACTCAGAGCATCAAGCAGGGCATGTAGAAACTCCTCTAGTCCTCCACCTCTTCAAGATTCTTTGGCTTCCCACCTGCATGGCCATTTCTTCAACTTGAGAGAAAGAGGAATGCGTGCACATGTTCCTTAAAAGAAGTTTGATTCATTATCTCGTTCTCTCTTTGTGTACTTACACCTTTTACTTTCCTGAAAAGGGTGCCAATAAGAGAAAGGGTTTCCAATGTAGTGGAACGTCAATCAGCTTGCCTGCTTGCGTCCCATTCCAGACAGACGGCCATGAAGGTTGCAATTAGATGGTCAATTCCCATACATGATTATTATGCCTCCTCCTTACTCAGGTACAAAAAAGCCTTCAAACATGACTGAACGTGTACGAACGTGGCTGTTCGCGACTGTTCATGGCCAGGGTGCTGGGGATGTTTCTGGGGCATAAATGAGCCTTCCTGCTTCCCAGTCTTCTTACGATGATCCAAGATTCAAAAGAGTTTTAAAACAATTTCATCTACTCGGACGGCTACTATATTCCTCTCCTTTCACGTTCGCACGTATTCGTTCCTGAAGAAATCACATGGCGAGGGCCAGGATGGCAGACAGAAATGGAAGGGAAGGGGTGGTGCAGCAGCTGTCCGGTCTGTGCACTCCGTCACCCTTCAAAAGCCAACGTCATTCTTCGGCAGAACCATTTTCCGAGCTTCCAACGCTCGGGCCAGGACCAATCACGCTAGCCACCAAAAATTCTCATGATGGGTCCAGCAACTGCTATCTCTGGCCCAGCTATTGCTGAACCTCCCCTAGCTTAACACCAAGTTCGACTCCATCCCAACAACGACTTCTCCTCCTCCCTTTTCGACGACCAAGGTCACTTCCTCGCCAACGAATTCGCCTGCAAGCTCCAGCGTCATCTCTTCATCTTTGGCTGGAAAATAGCATTCCGTTTCGGCCATCAACTGCTCGCGAACCTCCAACAGCTCCAGAAGCTCGGATTCCACGTCGATTACCCGGTCGCCTTCAATCTTCGACTTCACACGCCCCCGGGCTACCTACGCAACCGTCTCATCGAGATCATTGCGAACGCGCACCGCGTAGCCGATACACAGCCGAAAAGAAAGGAGCGCCGCTCTTAAACTACAGCCACAATGGTTCAACTTACCGAGGTCGAGGACGAGCACTTCCAGTCCGGCCAGGCCGGCCCCATCGACGACGACGCCGATTACTCCGACACTGGTATGTATCACTTGTTACCCTTTGAGACATCAAGCACGTGGATGAGCGTTCGATGATTACTACTATCGCAAAGCTCCCCCCTCGTGTCGCATACGTCACAGGAAACCCCCAAGCTGATCAAAACCCACCCAAGACTCCGAGATCTCTGAGGACAGCGACTACAACCCCCGCGACGAGTCCTTCGCCGAGCGCCTATACGCCCTCAAGGACATTGTGCCCCCGACCACCCGCGGCTGGATCAGCAACAAGGTCGACTTTGGCGTCAGCGCCGTCCAGAACACGTGGTACTACGGCTCCCGCACCGTCTGGGTCGTCTGCGCCACCGCCCTCATGATTGGTGTCCCCCTGGCCACCTGCTGGGCCGAGGACCAGCAGATCGAGGGCATGGAGCGCGAGTACCGCATGCGCGAGATGGGCGGCGACGCGCTCTTGGCCGCCGGCGAGGGCAAGGAGGGCAGCACGGCTGAGCAGGTCGGCATCGCTCTCGACCGCTCCGAGGCCAAGCCCGCTCTGTAAAATCACCAAACTTTCTCGAACACAACACAGAATCAAGAAAGGCGAAGGAAAGACAATGCAAAAGCGAAGCCGGAAAGGAAAAACCGAGGCTAGCTTATCGAAAGAAATCCGGATCTACGCGCACCAAAAAAAAGCTGAACCACTGTACCACACACCAACCAACCCCTACTTCTTCCCCCTTTCTCCTCGGGCAGATCTTATTTTTGCGTTTTGCGCTTCGGAAACTGTATATCAAGACAACTCTCTCACACACACCACGACAACGGAACTTTGCATGCATTGCGGTCATGGATGGCTTTGGCGGGATGGGGGTTTTCCCTGCCAAATTTTGCTTGTATTATAGGAAGATTTCATGAGGGCCGCGATAGGAATGGCCGTTTGCAATCATGACAAATTCTAATATCCATTCCGTTCCCTGGCATGTTTCGCGTGATTGTTCAATGGGTTTTGCTACCATGTGTACTTACTCTTTGTTTGAATTGTATCGGCTAAAGTTGGTTCGCATATTCCAGCATCACGTCTCTACGCAACCTGGGTGAAAGAGATTCCCCCGTCGTCAACAGTCGAATGCGGAACGTGGGCCTTTAGCTTAGGTTGTTCTAATCCCGAATTCTCTTCCAGAACGGGTTTGCTTTGGCCCATCCGCTCACCAGTTAAATCACTGCGGTTCCCAGGTCTGAGAGCGCTCGCCCTTTAGAGCCAGAAACACTTCGCAACCCCCGCGGTAGAGGCGAGTCCTTTAGTAGGGTAATGGAGAGAGGGTGATCTGCCCCGTTGTATCGGCAAAGTGTATCCCCTTCTCATCTTTTCCCATTTGATTATCCTGATGGCTATTAGGTCTGTTACATCGAGGCGTTTTGTCACATAATCTTGAATGCCGGCGAGACACCAAGTTGGGGGGGGGGGGGGGGGGGGGGTGGTTTGTGTCTCTGTATGTTGCTGCGTTCTTCCTCTTTTTGTTTTGTCGTTTTGTTTTTGTTGTTGGTTTGTTGTGGTGATGGTGGCTTGGTGGGGTATGGTATCGTGTGGGGGGGGGGGGGAGGGGGGGGGGGGGGGGGGGGGGGTGGGGGGGACTTGGTCTCAAGGCTCGGTTGGATCCAAGAGACCTTGCCGTGCGTTCGACTCGCGCATGATCGATGGGCGGCCTCTGAGAAGTATTGACTCTTCTCTGAGGCTATTTCAGCCAAGCTCGCAAACGTTTCCCATGGTCTCATATGCCAGGCTACCTTGAAGATGCCACGGGAACACTGTAGCTTGGAAGATCTAGGTCGGGTCATCCTGTGAGGCAGTTGAGGCATGTCATTTGTCTCAAGGAAAGGGGTTTTTCGGATGATTGATGTGGTAAAAGAGTGAGACTGATGCTGTAAACTAGAATACAGGTTGGTGCTCAGCAAAATATTTCTCCATCGTGACTTTGCCGGTGCAAGCAGCTTCACACACGGCTGCATGCCATCGCCCCACAGTGTTTACTCACCAACTCCGCCTTTGCTTGATGATGAAGATTTTCTAGCATGATAACCACTTCTCCACGAAATTCTCCTATAGTTCCTTCGTCTCTTAGAAGATGAAGTTGCGCCAAGATATGGACAAGGCTCTCCTCATTATAGTATTTGAAAATACGATGCGTATCTGTGCCCGACCCTGACCTCGGTCCTTCCATCTGTGAATCACGAGCCCCCAGAAGTATAAATGCATTTTGTCTAAGAAGCCCAAACTCTCTGGAGGCCTTCATATTGCTCTGTTCGATTCCAGGTTCGAGTTAATATCGCTATAGTTCGATGACTTCGGGTTGTCCCTCCTTCTTCAAGGCATCCTGAAGCCGTGATACCTTGGTCTGCAGAGTAACATTCTCACTGATGCACTTCATGTTGGTTTCTCGAAGTCCTTTGATTGTCTGAGCATTAAGGTCGTGACAAGCCTTCAGTTCCCTCTCGCGCATCTTCAATGAGTCCGAGGCAGCCTGACAATTGTCTTCAGAGTCCTCAAGATCCTTTTCGAGAGTGTTGAGCTGCTCCTTATGGCCGCCCCTTAGATATCTGATGGTCCTCATCAAAGGAGACAATTCGTTACTCAAGTCAAAGGAAGCGTTGGACGACCGTTCGAGTTCTACCTCCGCATTCTCCAGTTCCTGTTTGGCATTTTCAAGATCTTTTTTGGTATCTTTTAGCTCTTGCTGAAGTCCATTCACCTCAACTCTCAGGGCAGAAGTAATCCTGTCGTAAGTCGTCGTGGCTTCACGGTGACCACGTACAGACGCGTCTCTCTCAGATTTGACTTTCGAAAGAATCTTCTCGTGGTCCTTTCTAGTCTCATCAAGCCGCCGTAAAAGATGATCTCGCTCAGCTTCGACATCCGAAAGCTTCTTCTTTGCTTCTCTTTGCCTTGATGTGAAGTCGAATGTCATGTCCTCGCCCAGACGGATCCTGGCGACTCCATGCGCTTCAACGTTGACCTGGACCTCATTGAGTCTTTGACGCTTTTCAAGGGGAAAGTCTGCATGATTCAGCTGATTCTGGGATCCAGAGAAGGCCGGAGGGCACCATGTGAGCGAATGGCCAGCGCCACTGGTTCCGAAGGAATATTGTAGGCCGCCTGGCCGACCTGGCGGGGTGACCTGATCTTGCTGGCTCATGGTAGGTAAGGCTTCGCTTCGGTTTATTGTGTGAAGATTCTATCCTTCGATGTGGCTCTGCCTGATTGTGACTTGTGAGAAGGCTAGTCGATATGGCAGCGAGACATCTAGTGTTCAAATTGTCAGCATGGATCGAGAGGAAATTCCAGAGGAATTCCAGGGGAATGAAATAGAAGGAGAGCTTACAAAACGTCAATACAAGTTCGTCAAGAACAGGCAATGTGTCAGAGTAGGTCCTCTTGCATTCAAGAGTGATCAATATTTGGAGTTCGGTCGGTGTTCGTCGAGAGAGGTTCGGGACAAGTATCTCGCGTACAACGCTTCGAACGACTCGATCGACGGGAGACGCCACGGACCTGAGTAGATCGCGTTGCACAACTGAAAGAAATAGAGAGGGAGACTGGCGGTGGTGGTGTTTTGTAGAAACAAAAGGCGGACAACTGGTGTGGGCGAAGGTGAGAGGCAGCATCAGGGTCAAGTTGAGAGGGAGCAAGTGGCAACTCTCGACGCTGGTTAACTTCAGGTAAGTACCAAAAAGGAAGGGAGGAGAATCACCTCGATGAATCCTCCTTCCAACATTCAATACGTGTGCTGCCACCTTCTTCAACTCAGCTCCTTCGTAGTTTGAGTGAGGTGCTCCTTCTTTCTCAGTGACGGCCTCTTGATCATGTGGATCGTGCATGCCTCCTTCAGCACCAGTACCTCATGCACCGCTAGTCTAAATAGTACTTTGGTCTTTCTCTTCGCGTGTCAATTGTTAACGCGGAACTCACCCCTCGAGCATTTGTCCAGGTAAGCTGATGTCAGTGCAAGTACTCTTTCCTTCTCGTAATCTTCCCGGTGACCACATGAAGAATGAAACTTCCCTTTTTGCGCGTAGTCTGTGGCCAAAAAATTGCTGCAGATTGCAGACTTCTCATGGCAGTAGAGGAGCCCTAACAGGCAGGAAGCTGCCTCCCATGGTGGAACTGATCTCACTGGTCCCGGATGCTAGTGAGTCGGTCAAATTGCAATGCCTCTCTCAAACAGGATGAGCACACTTTCTCTTCGCGCTAGTGAACAGACCAAGACAGTGATGGTAAGGATGACGACGGATAGCTTGAATGCTTCCAGTTCCTATCAGAGTGCATGTAGCTGGTATTACGGATTATCCCGAACAAGGGACGCAACCACAATCGTCCAATTTAAGCTGAAAGGTGTACACATGTATATCTATACCTCCCATCCAGCAAAATGCAATAACTACTATGAAGCAAAAGATACAGACATAGCAAAAGAAGAACAGATTGCCCAAAGGCGGAATCGAACCGCCGATCTTCTCATCGCGTTCACATATCATCCCTAGATCGTGAGATCTGGAGGAAGAACAAGGTACTAGTGAGACGCTTTACCACTGAGCCATTCGGGCATTTTGTATCTGTTGATGGAGTCATTAATCGGTGAATGGATTTATATTGCTGTGGACCTCTCTCGCGGAAGAGGAGCCCTAATCGCGTCGAAGAATCCGAGAAAAACCGTGGAGTTTCGACGACGTAGGTGGGGACCTAGCCGGCCATATATGGAGTGGACGAACTCGCCCAAACAGGAAAGTCGGTGATGGATATGCAAGGGGGTGTTTCGCTGGGTGACAAGGAGTTTGGAATGGAGGCATACTTTAACGGCGAGCCGGGCAGAAATTTTCATGGGTGACAGGTGAGAGAAATCTCTCACGCAGACTTCGACATGAAGATTCGGCCCTGTCGGCGATCCCTACATCGCAAGGCGCCCGCCGGTCTCCCAGGCATGAGACGGCACCTATCCGACATATAGACACAGGAAGCAACATATACCAAGCTGAACGACTCATCAATGTTCAAAACCAGGCCCTCCAAGACTGTGAGCCAGTACGTCGGCAACTAAACCATCCCATCCGTAAACCCAGCTTCATCAGACGAGTCACATCGGGGACGCACATCTCATGCTGATCTTATAGACTTATAACGTCCACTTCTCGACCAACTTCATGCGCGCGATTCAGCTCATCATTCGAGTTTTTGACAGATTCGCGAGCTGATATGGACATCTCAGTCTCAACTTACCTCACCTTACTCGCGAGCAGCAAAAGCATAAACTTTCCACCTTGGTAGCAAGTTTCGGTGAGAAAGAAGTACCTGCCCATCCCAGAAACCACTCAACCTGCGACTTGACGTCTCATTCCCCAGACCCGATTCTACCAAGAAAGTCACATTTCAAAACACCAAACGCCCGTCAAAAGGCGAAGATCAATCGAACATGTGGGGTGAGGAGTTGACCAGAGAAAAGTATCGGCGTCCAAAAAGAAAAAAGTCTTTGTGCGCGAGAGATAGTCACCCGGAAGCCGAACCCAAAAATCGTCGGGGTCGGAACCGTGAGGTAGCTTGAACCAAGCTTCTTAAAGTCCGCTTACCATGATGAGAATCAACGTCCCGTCTATCCGCGACAGCCCAGCCTAAGCGGACGGCACCGTACCGACCTACATACGGACCTGCGGCTCGTTGTGACGACCGTGCCGGCCTCAGTAAGACCCCCCGGCCTAGCCAACCCACCCTCTGGTCAAGCTTGGTTCTCAAGCAAGAAAGAAAAAAATGTCAAAGTATTCAGACGCTATGTGAACTTTCCTCGGACTACCGTCAATTCGGTTCATTCTCTGCCCAAAGCCACCTTTCTGTCACGAGAGATAGGGATAGACAGGGAAAAGCTGGTAGGTCAAACTAGGGCAAGCTTGTCTATTGTTCACGTATACGATACCGTACCCCCTTCACCCTTCGACTCACCTGTAACCTCTTCGCCCTCCAAAACCTCGTATCCAGATAAGGTGGTAAGGTCTCCTCCCGCACCATTGCCCGCAAACAAGCCACACCACACACACATGTCACCTGTACATCCCAGGGTAAACAAACCGTTCCAACCCCCCTTCTTTCCCCTCCGAGCTTCGGGGCTGACTTGCGCAAGGGCTAGCCGTCGTTGACATCAGTGCAAACGAATAAATCGCCGCCGGGGGGGAGAACGTCAACCGACCCCCGCTCCGTCCCGGCGTCACACCGGAACCTCCTCGCCGAAACCGCCCCCAACATCCCGTCGTCCCAGAAAGGGCAATATAAGGAATTGGAAACAGGGTCCCTTTCTTCCCCCCTCTTCTACGCCAGTACGGATGCATTGTCCGAGAAAGCGCCAGGGTCCAAATGAACGGAAACCTGCTCATCACTCCGTACCATTCTGCCCTCTATCGAATTGATTTTCAATGTGTTCTTGCTCATCCTACCCTTCCATTTCATCCACACGAACTTCTCTCTTCCCCCCGGCGTCTCGCCCCATCAAGACGCGACACAAAAATCCAACTCCCCTGCTTCTAACCGGCCCAAACATCACCCATTTGCTCATTCTCCATCATCACTGGCCCCGAAAACCGATGGCTCCAAATGACACAAAAACACGAGCAAAAGAGCCGTGTAAGAAAGCGTGTAAACGAACAGCAAAAACCCACCACAGGCCAAAAGAACACTCACCCCACCAGACTGAGACATCTAGAACCCGGCCCTCCGCCTCACCCGAATACAACCCCACATACACAACATCCCGGTTCTCCCATCCAACCCCCGAACCTCGCCCGTCCGTCCCACCACAAGGGAAAAAAACCAGTGCCGGTAAACCAGCTTGCGTTGCCAGCTCCAAGGAGGAACGAGCCAACGAACGGGGTGGAAGTGAGCTTTCTAGAGTACGGGAGTACGAATACTCCTTCCCCTTCCCATTCTCCGAAGGGAAAAAAAAAAACCCCCACGAACAGCCTCACCCACATCTACCGCGTATCCATCTTCATCCGGCATCCAGCCTCGTCATCCGTCCCACCTCAATTCCTTCAAAAAAAATCACTCCCTCTCATTCAAAAGTTACGACGCAGCGTGGCACCGAACCAGACTTCGGCCGACCTTGGAAACCGCGGAAATCGTCCCATCCTCACGAATCCTGGACCCGAGGGGTAGGCGAGATGGATCCCCCGTGCTTCTAGAAGGGCGCGGCCGCGCGAGTGCGTGTGATTCCCGTACACCAGCAACATACCCTACTCCGTAGCTTTGATCCTTGATGAGATCGTCCATGTGCGTCACTTCTCTTGGCAAAAAGGACAACGCCCAGCAAAACATGCAAAGACCTTTTCATCGTGCGGTCCTCATCAGTGTATCAGGTCAACACACACTGCCTCACCTACTAAGTCCAAGGCCCGGGTAGACAGACAGTGGCCACTGAACGGTTTCTGCGCTGGGGGGGCAAACAAAGAAGAGAGAATCACGGTGGCCACGTGCAACAATATGATCTGAATCAAGTGGTGAATAAATTGATGTCAAGAATAAAAAGAGCTCCTTTTTTTTGATAGCTTCCGCGACCTCTCGCGTCGCACAGAGCAGATGCCACCCTCCCAAACCCAAGAAATATCCTGCCACCCACTCCCTGAGGTGTTGGTTACACGTTCGCTCCAAGTCTCATCAGACCACACCCTGTCCTAATACAACATGACGAACAAGCGCCTTGCTCTACTCCCCGCTTACACCCAGCGTAAGCCCCAGTTGGATAGACCCTAGATCTTCAAGAGCACAAGACTCCAGATAGCTTCGAGAAGAAAACAAAAAAAGTGCTCCATGACGGCATTTGATGGCCCGATGTCTCGTCCGGTCAAGGCTTGAGAGCTCGTACACAAAAAAAAAAAAAACAATATTTGCTCAGATCCACGTTTCGAGTTTGGACAGCCCAGGAACAGTTGCGAGACGAAACACCGTGGAGAAAACCCCCGCCCAATCGAACCCACACATTGTTTCCGTGACAGTATTCCAAAGCAGTCAGTCGTCTCTCTTCCGCGCAGCGCTATGCAGGTGAACCCCAACTCCGGTATGCTCTGGTCCTGTCGAGCTCCCAGCCCCGCATCCTACACGCGGCTGGTGTCCACTCAAATAATCGGACGGGAAAGAAGTCAAATCGAGGAAGGATAAGCTTCGAGTATGATCAGTAGTGGTATCACCCCCTAAATGATACCACCAGGCGGATCATAGCCCGTTGTCGCGCCTCTGGCTCCCAGCCCGGCACTCCCTGGTTGTTCTGACGACGCATCGACTTGTGCGTTGTTCGTCTTTCGTAACATGAACATTGGTTTCTTGCCCTCCTTATCCAGCTGTTTGAATAGGATCAGAGGTTTCTCCTCCAGCCCCAGGCACCGCTCCTGATCGCCGTAGACAATATACAGGGCGTACTGATCCCAGGGTGCATTGATTTGGTATTTTTTGAGGGCGGCGGGCAGCACCTTGTAGCACGGATCGTCCATACTGACTCGGAATGACTTGAAGATCTCGACAGATGCGTTACTCGTGCTTGGTGTATCGGGGGCTGGGGTTGGTCCGCGTTTCGGCGCCGTTTGCTGTTCCCGGCCTTTGTAACTATGGTCGTTTTCGGCAAAGGTGGATCGTGTAGAAGGCGTCGGGGCTTCGGAGCGGTCGGAGCGATAGGATCGAGAGCCCAAGGTCGCGCCGCCAAGTGTCGGAGGGGAGGTCGGCGAGGGCATGTTCGGGGAAGGATAGCCGGGAGATGTAGCCGTAGCTGAGCCATTCATAGCTGCCAGATGCGATGAAGATAACACGGCTCGTTCCGCAGCATTTGAGGGATCCAGCGTTTGCTCCATCGACCTTTCGTGCGTTGTTTGCAGGTGTGACGGCGAGTTGTTCTTTGGCGTCGTTCCTAGCATGATTCTCTTGGTAGAGTACTGCCGTTGCAGGCTCATCGACTGAGTGGAAGAGGGTGTTGGAGCGGGTGGCGATACGGTCTCGTAGCCATAGCCCTGGTTGCTGTTGTTGGAGACGTTGGGCAGTGGTTGTGATGAATCCTTTGCCAAGCGCAACGCAGGCAGCATATCCTCCCTCAGCCGTCTGAAGTCTTCGGAGAGTCGACGCAGGTCCTTCTCTACCATGCTCATTCTCTCGTCTCGTAGACGGAGCTGCTCGACCAAGTGCTTGATATCCTTGAGGGTTGCTGTCGCGTACTGGGCCTCCGCATCGGCAGCTGGGAGAGCACATGTCAGTGGATAGTCTCTGCAAAAGAAATGCGGCGTCACCTACATAACGGCACATAATGGTCGCTCTCTATTGGTATGTCCTGGGCCTTCTTTACATCATAAACGCTCTTCAGGATAGTGAGGCGATGGCCAACACTGGCAATACCCATAGACTTCAGGTCATCGTGTTGTAGGGCAACCAAGGCTTCGCCGACAATCTCGTTTTCTAGTTGAAGACGCAATCAGTCAGGTGTCACAATGCATAGAACAACAAGAAGACCAATGGGGATACGCACCAACAAAGCTGTCGGCATATTGCGCCAAACCGATTGTGCTGATGAAATCGGCGCACTCGTCGGCGGTCCACTCGGAAATGATGGTCTCGGGTAGGCGGTCGGCGCTGCTACGGTGACCGTAGGTCGTGGGGGTATGCTCGTTGGAAGAGGGGAGTTCGGAGTCGATTGGCGAGCCTTCATCGTCGGCGACAGGCGAGTTGGGCCCCAGACTGCGCTCGTATTCGTCGTCGGCATCCGACTCTGCGTAAGCAGTGCCCGAATCGAAGTTCATGACTGGCAGCGTTTGATCGGCGGCTCAGTGACAGAGGAGAGGAGAAAGGGTGGAGGTAGAGGTGCGATAGCACGTTGGAGAGGGGTGGCGAGGCGACGATAGTAAAAGTCGGAACGGCAGGCGGCAATCAGAGAGAGAGAAAGCAAGGCGCGGCAAGTCGAGTCGAATCGAGAATAGGAGAGGGCAGGCTGGAAGGCGAATCGGGGTCTTGGTGTCAAGAAGCGCCGGCGGTGCCCTCAGCGTGAGGAGGTCGTGGCGGCGGCTGCGGGGGCCCGTTGCAGAAGAGATTGGAAGTGTGGAAGCAGAAGCAGCACACAGGACTGGGCTGACAGGGTCGGGATCGCGAGCATCGGTTCCTGGGGCAGCAGGTCGGCGTTTCTGTCCGACGAGTTGAGGTGAGGATGGCGATGTCAAAGGAGAGAGAAGGTGGGAGTTGAGATGCGCAACAGCGAAAGAGGCTCAATGGGGAGACACGCTACTTGGGCAGGCTAAGGTCGTAGACTGCAGGAGTAAGAGGGACGAGTCGGTTCCAAGATGGGATCGTCGTTCGGGTTCGGGCTCAGGCGAAAAGGTGGAGGAAAGCGTCTGGCAGGCCGAAGAGCCAACAGCAGAAGACTGCAGTTAGGTAAGGTAGGTAACGGCAGGGCAGTGAGGGCAGCGGGTGCGTGTTCCACTGCTTGAGGGGGAGGGGGGATTACCTACCTTAGGTAGGTACCTAGGCAAGGTACCTAAGGACCAAACATGAGGAGTACAAGGGATTTGGTGCGGGAATCCGCTGGAGCAAAAGTAGTTCTTGTGATGTGCTCCTAAGCCTGGTCTGGTGCCTTCCATGGTAAGGTACCTTTGGGAGGCTGTGTCCGCCGTTGGTAATGGAAGGTGCCTCGAGAAAATGCTGGGTCGTTTCCCCGTGCGGCGTTCAGTGGCCTGGTCCACGTCCCAGTTGGGTACCTTACCTTACGGTAGTGGAGCCGCAGGTGTGGGCGCGATCCAGGACAGCCCCCAGCAGTACTTCTGCCCGCCATCCAGTGAGAGGTGCGCCCTGTTGCCTGTGCCAGCCCGGCCCTTACCTTAGCACCTTACACAGTACATGGCAAAGATACTGGGCCTTGCCTGTAATGGTACTTACATACGTAGTAGTACTGTGTATGTCCCGGACAGAGAAGCGTGGCCAGGACAAGGAGACAAGAAGGCGGGCAGGAAACCCATGAAAAGCAAGCAGCTTCCTCTTTTCGGATTGTAATCTGCTTGGTACCTAAAGCCGTACGTCTCAGTCTAGGCGGCCTAAGGTAGTTGAGGCAATGGACGATTGGTACAATTGAGGCCTAGAGAAAGAGCAAGGTAAGAGACATACATCCATGGTTGGATCCACGGCCCATGGCACCGATGGCAGATGGTGTTTTCGTTTCTTTTTCCCCCTTGACATTGCATATGCAAAGCGACAAAATGATGGGCGCAAGTGACCTGGCACACTCACGGGTCACCAGGGCCAGTGGGCGGTAGTGACATGCAGATGCCGACGTCAAAAATGGTCTCCCGGCTGGTTGCGAGATGATGATGCATCACCACCATCATACTGAGTACTGAGATACTCCATATGCGCCGTGCCGCCTTGTTCGGCCCATTGCCGCGGCCACAAGAGTCTGTTAGCGCCCAAGGGGGTCATCCCTGCGCCATCCACGACATCCACAACATCCAATTGCTTCTATTGCTTGAAGATGACTCTTTGCCGTCTGCCCGCCTCCCCGCCAAGTTTCTTAGGTGATTAGGTACGATTGATTCTTTCTTACATCCAAGTATCAGCCTTTGCTTCAACGTTGGCATCTGAATCCCTGACACCTTCAACAAAGCATGCCCTGGCTTGCCTGACATATACCACACACAGTCGCCCATAGCAATTAATATGCAAGCCCCGGCTATGAAGCTGAAGCTGAAGCTCAACCTACCTTATCAACAGCACATGTCTCTCCCAGCTTCCACCAGTTCCTTGCTTCTCTCTCAGAAACAGTCTCCGCACACTGCATATTGTGTGCATGGTACCTAGTAGTGCCCAAAAGAGGCTGACGAGTTTTTCCCTCCCGCTGCATCAAACATCAGTGGCATGTTCCAGAAGCCGCGCCATCTGCGTTCCTCATCTCCCCCATGAACTTGTGCTACCCAACGATGACCAGGTTAATCAAAGTAAACAACGGAATAACTTGACAAAGGGGGAAAACAACCCCAGGTAAACAAGAGATTTTTCCAATTTTTGACGGCATGCAAAATGAAAAACGGTCCCGATATCTGCTAACCGGTGCAACATTGGCACGCTGCCCCTCTCTGTCGGTAATTGGGACCGAGCAGCCCAGCCGTTACCAATCGCTAAGTGACAAGTGGATTATCCTCCTCGACTCTCCCGTTTCCCGTTTCCCGTTCAGTCCAAGGTCCACCGTCCACCCCTCCAGAACGCCGTGATGCCCTGCCACCGTAACTTCCGGAATATGAGAGATATCAGAGAGGGAAGTCACCTCTCAGGCTGGTCTCCCAGACTCTCATAGCAGCAAGGAAGAAATATGACCATTCGATACCCCGTAGTATCTTGCCTTATCGCGCCTTTCCCCTTTGAAATGACGACCTTCATGTCAAATACAATCTGATTTCTCGCCAGGGTAAGCGACGCGCCTATGTACCTACATCCTATCTCAATCTTGAGGTACCTTACCTTGAGGTAGCTCAAGTATCCCGTACGAATACCCGACGGCAACGGGGTGAGTACCTCCTTACTTTGACTTTAACCTCGACAGACAAACACAAACACCAGGGCCGAGCACTGAGAGTCAGGAACCCGCAGCGAGAGCCATGCGGTGAAGTCATTATCAGATGCTTTTGCCGTTTCTTCTTTGCTTTACCGTCCAAGCACCGTCAAGTCCTCCACCAACCACATTGCTCAATCCCAACCACTGCCCGCTCTTGTCTTCCAGTCTGTATGGAATGACCTGGATCACCTTCCCCTCCGTCGAGACACACGAGTGACGAACCGCCGTCCTGGCTTGCCTGACCTTAACATCTCTGCTAACCTCAAACATCCCAGGAACCTCGGCCAACCGCGTGCCACACATCGTGGGAAGGGGTTCCCGACCTAAACCTGCTTCACGGCAGAGTGTCCCGACCGTCCAGCCCCCCGCACCTTTCATTCGCCCAAACCGCCTCTTCAGGGTTGATACCGGCAAGCGTCAATATGCAAACTCTCTCCCAGAAACACGCCAGCTACCTCATCTACACGACCTCACCTTGTAAAACGTTGCTTAATCGACCCAGTATTCTCCTTAGCTGCTCCATCCATAGCTCTACGTTCGGCTACCCCCAAATCCAATTGGCAAAGAAAATTGCCCGACTGGACGCTGAACCTAGCAAGCCGCCTATGCTATCGCCCTAGTCACAACTCTACCTTCTACTGTACGAATACAGCACTCAGCTTGCCGTGTCCAATGAGCCCGAATTGACTGGACAAGTGACATCAAAAGCGTCCGGGTACCGGCTTTCTTACTGTCCAAACGGAACAAATGGCGCTCTACGAATGCCTTACGTTTCCATTGTGCATACCGGATGGGGTTCCGTCAGTCTAGGCCTCCATCGCCCACAGTCTACGCGTTCAACGCCTTGCAATCAGTTCCCACACTTCCCCAGCTGCTCCATTTGACTCATGACGATGGGTACGGGTAGCCTTGTACCAGCACGCAAATGAGGCATTTTAGACAACAGAGACGTCGTCGCCGTCATATCGAAAGGCCCAGCCAGCGATATCAATATGCGCGACTAATCATCTTGGGGGCCTTCCATCATTTAACATTATGGATAAGCACCCACCCGCCGCCGCTGAAGCTTCCAAGCTTGTCAACTTAGGTCCAAGGCCGCCGTCTTGGCACTCTATAGCAAACCTGCTGTCATCACGTCCAAGCTACCATTTGCAGTCCCTTGGACCCCCAATTTTAAAACCAGAATTCCCTACAGGGCTACGCAGATTAGCCTCAGCGAGGCTGCCAGCGAGGGAAGGCGAATCGACCAAGGCCCCGATAAGAGCACCCGTCAGATTGAGCCCTGCGTCGATCATCCTCGGCTCCCTCTGGGCTCTCGACTCGTCCTCTCCTCGTCCTTTGACCTCTCTGGCCGTCTGGCCGTCGTCCTTACTCTCTGTGTACAGAGTACGGCTACCCATCCAACATTGTTCATCGCAACTCTGTACCGCGGCACAGCCACCCCGTTGTTTCCTCAACATCGTCCAAATTTCCTCCTTACCTGGCCACTTATCCTCTGCTGAAACATCCAGCTTTGATGAATAACATTCAAGAATGTGACTTAACTGCATCCCACTTCACAGGAATATTGGTCCAGTCACGACACAATGGAGAGAGGGATATCAAACGGCCCCCAATGACACTCCGCTTGACGTGTGAGTTTCAGGCTCTCTGCCGATCCATCCGGACAGGACGCTAGAGAACATCCACATTCGTCTATCGCGAACCTGTGTCGCGTCGAGGCTAGCTCTTGCGGTGCGGTGTCACCAATCCGCGCATGGCAAACGTTTCGCGCCAGTAGACGCGCTACCGAGAGGATAAACACCGAATTGGGCCGCGAAGATAGACCTAGGACCCAGCCTTCCGGTTGTCACATTTGGCATTCTCTCAGAAAGTCCGCGGAAGTTTCTCTCTGTCGTTTGATTCTTGAGAGCGCCCACATCGAACCTCTCGGACCATCTCGTATAAACAGCGCTATCCCAAACCGACAACACCTCTATCCTGGCGTTCATGTCACCATCGACCCTAGTGTATGCTACATTATCCCGGAGCATTGCACGACCTCTTGACACCTCGCCCATTATTGTCTGGTATTAGATATGAGACGCAACCTCTTCCGTCTCACATTGCTTTCGAGACAGAGTGAGGAAGACCGACACGCCAGATCTTATCGTTCATCTCAAAAAAACTCACTGACACCGTCCCCGTCCGTCCATTCATGGCTCATAATGTGATGCCTCTCAGCATTGGAAAACTCACTATTCATACACGAAGCATCCGGAACTTTCTCCGGGACCCAATCGCAGTGCCCTCCTGAGAAAACAAGTCCCATCATCATTTCCCAAGAGTCCGAGACCCCGTCAGCAAACATCCATCAACCGGTCACCCGTCGCACTGAACCACGGCCGAACGCACATCCAAACCTAATATGGAAGAACTGCCTCGTTGCTTACTCCGGAAGAGGCAAGGACAACTGCCCATCTCTTCTACAGGTTCCCTCTCTTGTCGAAAATCCCACCCCAGATAGACTTCGACGCTAGAGCCTCTCCGATCTGACGCCCGCCGCTCCCCTACGCCAGGCTTACACTACATTAATAGGATCCGAACGACGGCTCGCTCGGCCGAGTCCCTCCTCCAGTGCCCCTTTTCTTTTTCTGTTTGCCGCCTCTTTGTGTTTAAGCTCGCAGATCGCAGCTCAACCGCAAATCATCCGCCATCATTCCGAGCGACCCCTCTTGACCACGGACTTGAGTTGCTTCCCGAAGCTAGAGCGTCCGTGCCGACATCGCCCACAGAATCCGAACCTACCAACCAAGTATCTACCACTTCCCGGGTTTCCCAGGTGCTCAAAGTAAACCTTGACATCTCATGTGCGTGCGCGCTCTGTCATCTCAAGATCTCGATGCCTCTTGTTTCTTTTCAGGAGCTGGCTTGATCTCGTTTGGGGGGGAAACATCTTTAGAGAACCGTACGGACACTCTCCAGATTGGGAGAACCTTGCGTACCATCCAGATTACCCGCCCATCCGAGCTCCGAACCGACCTCATCTCACCTTGGGTTCCGCGTTATCCCCGACCGTCCTCGTCGTCGCACCAGAGCTGCGTGTCGGGCTTCATCGCTGCACATCGGGCTTCTCTGCTCTGCTAAACCCCCCACGTCTCTGTAGAGCGAATGCGAACAAACTGGACTAGTTCGCGCACCGGTTGCTACCGAGCTTTGTCTAAACTCTAACTGAGACCATTGCCTTGAGAGCCAAGAGGCTATTTCAGCCTTAATTCGCAGCAGGCGCGCCATGTAAGCAGAAGGACAGCCGGCAGTTCATTCTTGCAGATCGTGTTGGGGTAGCCCGCCTGCTTGCCCATCACCGAGCAAGTCTTGATATCGTTTTGGCACTCGGCCGGTCGCTTTCCGCAGTGACAACATTTCCTCTCCAACTTGAAGTTGCTAGTCGAGAATCCGTATAAGCTCCTTGTTTGTGAGTATACCGTACCTTTTCGTTGCACCGAGCACACGTGTTTGCTCCGGTTATTGAGACGACATGCTTGGCCAAAGTTGCAAATTGTGGGCTTTGAAAAAAGTCTGCCGCCATGTAAGAATGGAAGCCAACTGTAGAGACGGATTTGTATGCCTTGCCCTGTGTAATCGAGAAATTGCATTGTCGCAGCACCCTGCCGACGGGAGACTTCATTCAAGAATATGGAATCTTGACATAGAAATAGGGGTACTAAGGGCAACGTGACATGCTCCAACTCAGCTGTCTCTTCAAATCACTTCACGTAGTCTTATTCCCATGTTGGCAGATCGGATACTGGGTCACACTCACGTCTGGTTCTCGTTATGGGATGCTAAACCTGTTTTCTCAACCTGGAAATAGTGACACGCACTCATAGCCTATTGCCAACACACCCACAGAGCCCATACTGATACACTTCTTCCCTATTCCAACAGTCCAACCCATAGGCAATCCCACAGCGTGTGGTGTAATTCATGCAATCTGTCCACGACCGTCATCCAACAACACCATCACAGGGCTTGATCTCCGCCCTGATCCCCCCAGCCTATCAATTCCAGAGCTTCAGACATCCTGTGGAAGCAAGTTTGAGGCTGCAATACATCATGGAGACCCATGAGAGACACATCGTTCGTGAATCACAACTTTGGAAGAAAGCTTGCTCGCTTGCTCGGGGCTGTGGCGCCCGAAAGAGCTGAAGAATCGTCGTGATGCTCTTTCTTCATCTTCCTCTGTGTGCCCAATTTGGCCAATCCTTTCATTCTCTGCTTCTTCATAGGTCCCATTTCTCGGTGTAGAATCTTGACGTGGTCCTCCACGCTTTCGGCATATGCCTCAGGGGTTTGCCTCTCATCTGCAACTCGCGTTTTTGCGTCGCTAGTGTTAGCCACAGACATGTCGCCCGATCTGTTCGCGATGGTGATGATATGTTCGAGCACTGCCGACCGAGGCCGAACGTGGTTTCCGTGAGACGACATCACTCGTTCAGAACCCCGAGTCACTCCATGCTTGTTCACTTCAGTGCGAGGCGGCGCCGTTTGGTCTCGTCTGCGCTTCTTCTCTGTCTCCTGATCCTCATTTGACTTCGGGCTGAGAATAGACGAGGCGCTTCTCTTGGAGACAGGCGTATGCCAACCACCGGGAGATCGAAGTCCCTCGACAAGCTGTCTTTCGGATGTGTGGGGATTGTTTCCCAGTTGCAATTGTGCTCGTCCTATACGACTATGCGTGTGGGAGCTACATGTCTGCCGGTCCTTCTGGCGATGGCGATCCATTCCTTCACCCTTTGATATGGGACAATTGCGATCAGTAATCGAGTGATCGTTTCTACTACGTTCAGTGGTAGGTTGGGCTGGGGCAGGACCACGGGCACTAGAGTCGCTTCCTGTGAGAAGGTCAGCTTGTGTAAACTCATAATCGAGCAATCATGAAAACTGTGCTGTACTCACTTCTAGAACGGAGCAAGTTTAACGTCGGTGATTTACCATAGTTGGGTGTACGTCCTGTCTTGGAGTTGGGGAGTGTATGGCTTCTAGGCCTACCCGTTGTTAAGCCAGTTGGAGCATTCTTGCTAAGAGAAGCAAAAGAGTCGTCACTGTCGTATCCACCTTCGTACTTGCTATTGGCGAACCCAGAAAGGGGTTGTTCGGGTTCGTACAAAGGGCCTGGCAAAGTCTTGATGGCCACCAAGCCCAACGTGTCGGGGTCCATTCTACGCTGATTCAACACTTTCGGCTTCTGGCTTGGTGTTGTGCGGAGAGACCGACCCCGTGTAGCAAAAGACGCCTTTGCGGTTGATGAGGTCTTCGCAGGAGTTTCCACTCTCTGCTTCTTGGTGGCTGGAGCCGGAAACGACTGGTCGGGTGCAAGATCATCCCGGATTCGCTTCGACCCCTTCGTTGTCGTCGACTGAGTGTTCCCTTTCAAATCGTTCTAGGTCTTTGAAGAGGTATCATCCTGACGTCGGGCTCGACGGATAGGCTTGACTTCATGCTTCGGAACGGTAACAATTCTGATGGAAGGCTTGGGCGCCTTGGCCATCATGTTGGACAGCAGACTGAAGCTTTTTGGTACAGTCGGTTTTTTTGCGGTAGCCACATCTTCCTTTTTGCCGGTGTTGTGGGTGGTGTCCAAATTCAGGCGTGTTGCATCAGTATTCTTCAATTGCTTCTTGGGAAGGCCTTGAGATTCGATATCATGACCGACTAGAGTCGAGGATAACGATGATGTGCGAGGCCGGGAAGTAGTCTTGGCCTTGCTAGCTGCTATTTGTGTATTTTTCTGTCTACCCGTGCTGGAAGAAGTTTGGAATTCTTCGTCTTCATCTTCAAGAATGAAGCCAGAAACTTTGATTGCTGCAATCCCCTCCTGGAGGCCGTCGGCTGAGGCAGCTGTAGTTGTAGGCTTTTTGGAGGTACTTCCACGGCTCTCGCGTTCTTCGGTGTCAGGGAAGAAGCCACTTTTGAAAGCCCGACTCTGCAGCTTATCTAGAAATCTCAGGTGTCCAATATGGTCGCCGTTGGCAGGCGACGGAATTCTCAAAGGTGAAGAAGGTGCGTGAAGGTGTGCAGTCGGGTTATCAAGCAGTGGGTTACCGCGATGCAAACCACCTTGATCGACGAACAGGCTGTCGGCAGCCTGGGATGTTGCCCTGGGTTTGGCTGTAGCGTGTAGACTCGACACGGTAGAAGCCTTCCGGCAACTATATTCCGAAGGATTCTCTCGATAGCTTCTAGAGAACTCGGTTGATGGTAGAGAAGATGCGTTCCGGCCAGCTGTGCATTGAGCATTGGGAGGAGGGTGTGGTCCCAGAATGCTATGCCTATCGTGATCGATAGCTGACGGAAAGTGCGATTGCGACTGAATCGGACCGAGTGAAGAAGCCATGGCCGGAGGTTCAGGGAATGGAGTTCTTGGAATTTGCTGATAAGCTGCCGAAGAGCTATTGAACCCCTCAGAGGCTGACTGAGAAGCTGGCGATGGCTGGATGGAGTTGGTGCGATGTAGAGAATACTCGGCCTCTGCACCGCGCTCACGCGATGAACTACCCTGTGAGATAGAATAGTGACGCGGTGTGAAATTTCTAGGTCGAAGGGGTGGAAGAGACGTGTATCTTGGCTCGGCAGGATGTCGAAGAGGCTTCTGCTGTTGGCCTGATGACCGACGAGACACCACAGGAGCGTGGTGAGTGAAGTTGTCTTCCATACTGAACAACCACTCAGCGAGCAGATTTCCGATGATGGTATCTCTCGTGTGCTCTGGAAGTAAGCTCGTTGTTTGGGGATTCGGCGCGGAAAGTTGGTGCTCAAGATAGACGCGATCGCGCAGGCGCGACAATGTTTCAAACTTGGGATAAGGAAGAATGGCAAGAAAAGACCAAAAAGGCGACACTCCAAAACACCAAAAATACAAGATCAGACTCGAGGAATGATTCCCTGAGCACTGCGCAAGTAAGAATGGTAAGAGAATATGCTGCGTGGAAGTTGGAGGTTGGTGATATTTGCGCGGGTCTCTGAGCAATGTGATGTGGTGATGGAAGGATGAAAAGGTAAACAATTTCCGCGGTGAGGAAGGCGTAGAGATGAAGAGCGGACGAAGTGAGAAGGATCGGTCCGCCCTGAGGTAATAAACATCCCTCCAACCTCCTTCTGACCGCCCTCCTGAGCCGTTTCTGAGGTAACCACCGCCTCATCAACGACCTCGCGTCCACGTGAGGCGGTCACGCGTACGCGTTTCTCGTCAAAGGTTCAGATGGAAGGAGCAGAGTGCCTCGGGTACCCAAAGGTGAGATGGTCAAGAAGGAGCAAATGGGTAAAGGGGCATGAGGTGGCTCTCAGAAGGAACGTGAATAGTGTCAAAGGGAGAAGAGCAGGTGGATTCCTTGGATCAGAGGGGTCTGTGGGGTTGTTCTCTGCTTATCTTATTGATGACCCCGAGAAGGAGTAGGCCGTTCACGAAGATATCTGAGTATCTTCTTCTTCTTTTTTTTTTTCTTTTTTGATTAAGTATGTAGCTGAACCTCAAGATGGGAGTTATTCTTCCCCAGAATGGCCCCCGATATCGTCTTCTCTCGAGTAAGGCATTCCTGGAATGGTGTCTACTGTTTCAAGCCTCAATTCCTGGCGTCTAAGGCCATATACAGAAGTAGAAGCTCTCACCTACTTGGCAACATAGGAGCGTAGTCAGTCAATTTATGAAGAGAAAGAAACAGCGGACGAAGCATTGAGCGAGTGCTTCTTCACTCTAGTGCTCGAGAGCAGCGCTCTAATAATTATGATAATACATCCCTCAAGACTCGTGACATATCAACAGCAATAATGACTAATCGTTCATGAGTTCAAAAAACCAAAAGAGTTCACCCCCCCGGTGCTGAACTGGGGGCTACATCTCTGGTGCTCATGCCGGGACTCGAACTCGCTAAGCCTGTCGTCGAGTAGGCTGGTTGGCGTTTTGATTGTTGACCATGAACCGTTCCACCACCACACCACAGTTTGACCTGACCCCCGGCCTAAGGGGCGCCTGCTGCGCTGGTGACAGGAATTGGGTTGAGGGGGTAAATGAAGGCTTGTTGTTGTGTATTCAGGGCGGTATAGGCAGAAGAGGTATCGGATGAGAAGGTTTGTGATGTGGCTGGGAAAGGCAAGGCGCGGGTCAGGGTGGCTGACCTGGGAACCGTCGAGGTATGATCTTCGAACAATTTGACTCTGTCGAGTCTTTCCTATATTCTCTGTGGAAAGTCTGATTTTGGATATCTTTGACACGAGTCTAACCACTACGCTGTCTTGCTGGCCCTTTGCAAAGCCTTGCCAAAGTGCTCAACAAAATCAACACAGTCCACAAACGTATTATACAACGGCGCCGGCGCGACTCTGATGACATTGGGCTTCCTCTCGTCAATGACCACCCCAACCTCCTCAAAGTACTCCATCACACCATCCAACAGCCCATCCGCGAGCTTCAAGCTCAACTGCGCTCCGCGCTCCTCGCTCCCCGACGGCGTAATGATGCTGAAAATATCGGAACCGAGCCAGTTCTGGAGCAGCACCTCCAGGAACGCCGTCAGCCGCTTCGACTTCTCGCGCAGCGGCGCCATCCCGCCCGCGAGCTCAAACACCTCGAGCGAAGCGCACAGCGACGTGATGTCGAGCACGCTCGGGTTACTCAGCTGGAAGCCGGCCGCCCCGGCCGCCGGGTGAAACTTTGTCGCCATCACGAAGCGCGAGCTCTTGTCGTTGCCCCACCAGCCTCCGAAACGGTTCACGTAGCCCTTCTCGGAGTCGGCGTCCTCGACAGAGGTGGTGACGGCCGTGTGCCGCGCGTTGACGAACGCGCCGCCGATGCAGCCCGGCCCGCCGTTGAGGTACTTGTAGGTACACCAGGCCGCGGCGTCGACGTCCCAGTCGTGGAGGTGCAGCGGGACGTTGCCGACGGCGTGGGCGAGATCCCAGATAATGGGGATGGCGTGCTTGTGCGCGAAGGCGGTGATGGTGGAGATGTCGAGGAGCTGGCCGGTGTAGTACTGGATACCGGGCAAGAGGATGAGAGCCGTGTCTGCGGCGTGGGCCTCGATGATGGAGAGGATGTGTTGGGTTGCGAGGGTTGGTTCTACGGCGGTTGAGGGGGGCTCAATGCAGACCATTGACGTTGACGGGGAGAGATCATGGTGTCTGATTTGGGTCTCCACGACGAACTGTATGAGCTGTCAGTGCCATTCCCTTGTCTAAGTTTGCGGAAAAGAGCTGACTTACATGGTCACTCGGAAAGGCCTTGCTCTCCAGGATTATCTTATGCCTGCCGTCCTTCTTGGGCTTGTAGAAGGCCGACATGAGAAGATGGAGGTTTGCCGTCAAAGTCTGCATCACGGCAACCTCGGATTCCTCAGCGCCAACAATGGGGGCCATCATCTTGGCCGCCCTGGCGTCTACGTCGAGCCATGTCGGCAACGGGGAGTCTTCCAAAGGCTTGAAATGTCCCTGGACACCCTGCATCGCCCAGGTGGACAGATACTGCTGTATCCTCTCGGCGGTGCGCTTAGGCTGCAGACCGAGAGAGTTGCCGCAGAGGTAGGTGCATTTCTGCTGACCGGCCTCTGGTGTGGCAGAGCCGTCATCTTTTCCTTGGTGAAGGATGTTAGCTCCAAAATCTAGAGTCTAGAGGCATTGAGGGTGAGGAGTAGCATGTGAATGAGTTAGGGAGAGTGAGAATGAAGGGAGCTAGGTGTCTCCTGATGAAGTAGAATGATGCCTCCAATTGCTGACCTTTCTTGGCAAGGGTCTTGCTGGTGATGTCTTGTTTCGTGGGGATGACGAACTCGTCCCGCGTGTGCCTCAGCGCATCTTCCTGATCCAGGGCCTCGGCGCGTTGCCTGATGGAAGCGTCGAGGAGAGGGTCCATATCGGGTGAGATAGTGTGGATGACCTTTGACTAAGATGAGGTAGGACAACCTCTTGCTCCGACCTTGGCTTGAGGTTCGAGAGAGGGATTGAAGCGGGGGGTGGGGAAATCGAAATGGCCGTCAATGTGTCTTGGGATCTACTCTCTCTCGGGTTCACCTTGAATAGCAGTGTCGCAGTAACCCTTGATCGTGTGTGTCAAGATCCTTGAATTCAATGAGCTGGCCTCGATATCCTGCGTTTACGGCTTACAAGATGATGCACGTTGGATCAGAGGTAGTGAGGTCAGCAGTGTTTTCCAACCAAAAACACGAGTGAAGTCATGATGCTCCATTGAATAATTCCCGCGCGTGCGCCCCTCCTCCAATGAGGGGTTCGGATGGAGCTCCGGCTGGCGGGGCCACGCCGTGCAGCTGGCAACGTTCACCACCACCTTGCATCTTTTGTGACCACCGAGTGACCATCACCACGACCACAACCACTTGAAGTTGGATGACTGTGTGGATAGGTACCTGAACTTGGGATGGAGCTGCCCACTCAGAGACCAAGGGAGCATCAGGTGTTCCCACCATGTAAAACAGTTGGAGAGAGGGAGGAAGAGGTGAGACGATGGAGAAATCACCATTCCAGCATCAGAGGGGCAGAGGATCCTCTTTTTCTCCAAAAACTTGTGGTTTAGTGGACCTTGAAAAAACTTGGTGATGTATCGTGATGCCGAAGTCAAAGATGTGAATTCGATTAAATCAAGGTACTTTCCTTCGATCCTTGACATGTACCTTGCCCAAGTACCCTATACTTTGTCTAACTGTGTCAATGTACACTTACTTGTACCGGCATATATCTCACAAGTTTCAAAATGTCAAAAACCTGCATCGTGACAATCAAAGAAAGAAAAAAAACTTCTGTTCCATTCCATCATCATCAAAAACAACAATAACGTGCTCGAGCTAAACGCCTCGGATTACGAAATATGGGAGTTTTCATTACCCCCTCAAAACCCCGGTATTACCCCCTCATTACCCCATAGACTGGCCACATGCGGGGTTTTGCTGACTCGTCCCTTGGCAACGACCCTCCGCAATCCGCGAGTCTGGGGGGGCACACGAGATCGTTTGGGCCCAGACAGGGCCTGGTCGGTACCTTGAGCCTCGAGGCTCAAGGTAAATCAGGTACGGACGGCGGCGGCGGGCTTGCGTTCTTTGTCTCGCCCCTCCAAGTTTTTTTCTGTTTCTCGTGGATGGCGGTACCTGATGGACTAGTCTTACACTCCATCCAGATGGAGTCCTTTTGGGGGAAAGGAGGACCACATGAATGGGCCCAACAGAATACATACGAGTCTTTACTATGTACGACTAGATGGAGAGGGTGGGAGGTGGAAGGCCAGGTAGGTAGCACGGGGTCGGACGGAGCCAGAAGACGAGTCCGTCACCCCCTCCTCCCCGTGAGCGTCCGGGGATCCACGGCGGGTGATGCGGAGGACAAGGTGACTCTGTGACGGGAAATGGATGGTGGGAAGTATGCTGCCACTCTCGCCCTCCTCCGACGGAATTCCATGTTCCACGGAAGGAATCACGGCACGGGGTTTTTCGGCAGCTGCGGGCGCTAGGCGGGATATCAATGTACGAAGTATTCATACACAGCAGCAGCAGACTGACCGGGCTTACTTTCCTTGCAGATCCTGAAGCAAGTCTGGCCAGCCTAGGCCCGAGGAGGCCCGTTTCGAATTCAAGCCACGCTTTTCTTTCTTTCTCTCTTCGTTATCATCTGTTGTGACACGGAACTACTCTCTGTGGTTTCCCAGAATTAAGCAAGTCTTCCCAGAGCCATGGAAAGATAAGCACCGGGTGCCCAACCCGAACATCTTGGAAAGTTTCCCCTTGCTCGCCCGGGTGGTCGGATGATCCTCGCACTTTCGGGTTCTCCCCTTAGCCTCATGCAAGTTTTCTCTGCGGAGTGGTCGAAAGGGTGTGGGGGCGGGGGGGGAAAGAGGGCGCCCGGCCGCACACGGCGCGCTGTTGCAGCTCCTCCCCCGCTGCCCCGGGGGGGCTGGCTGCTTCCGCGTGGTGGGGGTGTCCCCTGGGGCGCGGGGGGTGGTTGGGGGGGGGGGGGGGGGGGGGGGGGGGGGGGGGGGGGGGGGGGGGGGGGGGACGACGGGCTGGTATGGGCTGGCTATGGAGGACTGAAGCCATACCTACGTAGAGTTATGGAAGTAGACGCCGCTTTGGTGACTTTTCTCACAATCGACCGATTACCTTACCCCGATGAAATAAAGCTCTGCAAAAGGTAGGAGGGAAAGAGGGGACTGACAATGGAAGGAAGATGACGCTTTTCCCCGGCGGGTGTTCTGCATTGTACCTCTTTTTCCATCGAAACCTCTGTAACCAATTACTAAAGATGGAATTTGGGAACGGAATGTCGCAGATTCAGGGACACGACATGACTAGGGTTGATTGGCGCTCTCCTACGAGGACAGGAAAGCCGCTGCACCTAACAATACACTCCGCGGGTTCTCTTGGCCGGAGTCTGACTTGACGTTGGGACAGTTTCGGGTGGAGACCCCGACCCTCCGACGTGATCGCCCAAAGTCGTGTGTATAGAGTAGGGGGAGGCTCTGCTTGGCTACCAACTTGTTCTATTTCATGTTCTCTCCGTGACGGGTCACCGGTACCACGATGGCTGGTCTTCCCCAGCCAATGCTATTCCGAGTCCTAGATAACAATCCAAGAGGCCTCCCCTCACGGCGGGCGTAAACGGCGTGAAGATCCCGCCCAATAATGCCTCTGGGTTTACTCAATTGGGAAGAGCCATTTTCTCTCCAGCGGCTCAACTCAAACTTTTTTTTTTTACCTGCCAGAGCAACACGCTCGAAAACTCGAAAAACAGGGCCATCTGATCGCGGTACCTTGCCGGATCGGAATGAATATACGCGGCTCGATGCGCCCGTCGATATGCACAATAGAGGAGGCCTCTCGTTTTTCTTCCCGTTGTGTATATCCAATCAACTAACAAGCGAAGAAAGAAAGAAAGAGCAAGAGAAGAGGGGGGGACTGGACGCATAGGTCAGGAACCCGGTCGGAAATATTTCTTACGTACTCGTACATGTTCGTGGCGGCCGGCAGTGAGTTTTTGCACGATGCCGCAATTATTGCAACAGCTTTTGTAAACATTACGACAAGAAGCAAGGGGTCAGTGAAAAAGTCAAGCGGCAAACACAACGACACCCCCAGCATCGAAAAAAAGACTTTATTGTATTGTGATTTCGTGGTTTGGTTGTCTGGAAATAAACCAGAACCACTAATTAATCCTCGTTTCTATGTGTCATTAACTGCCTCTCTACACACCCCCAGACCCAAAACAGAGGTGAGGTCTTTCTCTCTCCATCGTGACCTGGGGCTGGAATGGTGCCATTGACCTGGAACCCCCGAACCGGGCTTGACGGGCCACCTGGCGCGGCGAAGGAAATTAAATAACGAAAAGTCGCATCGTGACCTTTCTCGTTTTTTTTTTTTTTCCTTTCCTTGGTCCGTGGTCGAGCTAGAGACTCGTGACGGCTGACTTGCCCCGAGCTTTCCCTGGGGAATGGGGAATGCAGAAAGGAGAACGGGACCTGGCAAAAATCTGGGGAAAGGCACCTTGGCAAGTGACGATCCGAGTTTTCCATCCCCTTGTGGCTGTGCTATTGGAGTCACGATCTCTTCACTCCTGTCAATAGCGACTAGAGGCGTTGTTGGGGTAAAGCGGTCTCCGGGACTCAACCCCCCTCTTTTTGGCAGCGGGAATGTGGACGTGTGCGTGCGTGCGTGCGTGTATGTGTTCCACACCTTGAGGTGTGAAGTCTAGGAGTCGGTGGACTGAAAAGGTGAATCGGGGTAAGGGACGGTGAGAGAAAGATCGTGACACATCGTGTCTCTTGACCCTTCCAATGGGGACATGGTTCACATCTCAACCTTCACAACTACGTGACTGAGCATCGAATCCACAGAATCAGTCCTGAAAATTCAGACTTGGACAATCCGTCCATTCCAGGCTTCCTGTCAAGTTTCCCCAAACTCTTACCCCATAACATCCACATGGTATATTAGTATGCAGGAAGGGGGAACAGCGCAGTGCTTGTTACTTTCCCGGAAGGAGGAGGGAAGAATCGAATTTGGACGAAACAAAAGGCCTTGTCAGACCGCGTGACGAGAGGAGTCTTGGGTTCAGGACCTCTGGAGACCGGCAGTGTTTTACAACGGCTTTTCCATTTGGTAATGGCGATGCGGGATCGCGGGGCATCAATTTGGATCGTCGGGGCCCCGGCCTGGGGTGGCTAGATTCTGTGGAATAGACTGTGTTGTTACGCAAGTCGAGACTCGAAAAGGGAGTGAGAGTATCGTGAGTTGTGAACACCATCCAAGGTACGGTACCGAAAAGCTGGGGTAGAGCAGAAGCAGAGGAAGCGCAAGCTGCAAGAGTCAGAGGGAACGGGGCATTGTCCAAACGAACTAGGTTTCCCATCATCCAGAGTCCTTCCCAACTTCCCCAATGGGGCCAGGTCGGACTGTCCCGTGGCCATCTCGGGGTCGCAACTGGCGCTGGCGCGGGCTGCACGATCAAGTAATCTGGGGGTAATGGAAACTCGACGATTCGGGGGCCCGGTCCCGTCGGTTGGCAGATGGAACAAACAACAGCCATGCTAGAGCGGCTGTGGGGAAAGGGAGACATCAGCCGCCGCGCTCCCGGGCCACTCGGGGCTGAAAGGGTCAAGGGCCATCCCCAACATTGTTGCCGTCCCGTGATCTTTTTGCAGGCTTGACTGATTCTCCCTCGGATCTTGGACCCAGGGGCTTTACTTCTTGTCCTGGTCTAGACTGTTGTTGGGGGGCCTTCCTGGGCGTGCGTGTGTAAAAGGAGGGCTGAGCTGGTTGATCTGTGTAGTTGTGCAGAAGATCTGGGGTAAGAGAAATGTGGAAAACAGAGAGTCTCGGTTCCTGACGAGGTCGCCGGAAGGGAAGAGCGGGAGACTGGTGTTGTTTTCTCTGGGGGAATTAGATAACCCGGTTCCTGTGTCCGTATCCAGTTGCGATTGATAGTCAGTCTTTGGACGAACATGGCTGTTGCTATTAGTGTCCATATTTTTGTTATGAGGTCTGAGCTGTTGCCGGCCGGGGGACTTGTTGTTATCATGCCGTGATTCACAAGGGGAGGTACGACGACTACGTACACAACAAAGAGGTAAATGTCGTATGTGTACATGAGAAGATACATGACACCTCTTTGGATGAGATACATTAGTATTGCGAAAGTAGGTATCGTGGGTATCTAGCATGGTACATGATCGGAAACCACTTACAATGGAGCAAGGTACGACGAAGTTGGTTCTTTTTTCTGGGGCTTTAGAGGGGCAATGGCTGGGAAGTCGTCTCGAAGCAAGGCCGGCGCCTGACAAGCGGGCGTTTTGAGCTGCAACGCGAATAAGCGGTAAAAAAAGAGGAGGTACAGAGTACTCACGATTTGTTCAAATTTTCAAACGGGTTTCTTTACCCGCTGCGTGATAGATAGTATTCTTTAGAGTAATCTGCTTTCTTGTCCAAAGTACAGAGGTACCTTCGCTTACCGTCACCGGTCTTTTCGTAACGAGTCCTGTGCTTTGTTGGGAAAGAAACGCAAAAAGACATCATCTCGAGGGTACATGTCGTTTCGTCTGTACATAGAACGGCGGCTACCAGTGCCGAACTCTCGGGGCGTCTTGATAATGGGAAGGTGACTGACGAGATTAGAGAGTGCAATGCAACAGCAGAAGCAAGTTGACAACACAGCAAGCAGCAGGTCGGCGGGTAAACCGGGTACGCACAGGACGGCCCATGGAATGCTCTTTTGCGAGAGCTCACGGGATCCAAGGCCGCGCGCTGAGAGACCGGCCGCCCGGACGTGTGGCTCTGCTGGGCAATACCGATTTTGACACATTTGCCTGCGGTGAGTAAGACCTTATGCCTTGTTGAAGGCTATCGCCATCGGGTTTGGCTGCTTTGACTTGTCATTTTGGACCTGGCATCCGAGATGGCTCATCTTAGATGGGTTCTGTAATGCGCTCTTCTCTGCTTCATCCTTTCGTGCCCTCTCCCAAGTCCCAATCCAACCGGGCCGGTCATGTTGGGGAACACAGAAAAGTATGATATGAGGTTTGAAGAGACGTCGGGTGCCCGCTCCGACACTTGGACCTCGAATGAAAAGAGGTACCTGGCAAGGTATCCTTACGAATAGAGGATGCGAGAGAAAAAAATGCAAGAAAAAACTGGAAAGTGTACCGCTGCTGTGTGGATTGAAGAGCCTCGAATAGCCGTGACATGTAAGGAGAATTGCAGATACGTACACTGGCAAGTCTCTTGTACCTGCTTTCGGTCTTTCCCACGATGCCTTTTTGCAGAGAGAATAACCGAGAGAGAACGGCACAGGGAAGTACGGATACATCTGATGGGAAGAAGTATCTACGTACCGTTGGATACGTACCGTTGGAGGGCATCGTGGTCTTCCCAGTGGATGTTTGAGGCCTTGGTGGTTCCTTGGTGCCCCAAGTGCCCCTCCATTGGCGCATGTGATGTGCCCCATGTGGCAGCTCCCAGGCCTCACTGCTTCAGCTTCCGCCCCAGCTTCCCAGCCAAAAATGTCGCCTTACGCCGTCAGGTACGATGGGGCATACGGCAGCGATGAGGATGAAGCAAGTACCCTTTTCTCCTGTACCTCTACTCCAGGCGTACAGGCGGACCCAGGCCCGGGACGGTCGCACTCGCCAACACCACCACCGCCGCGCCGCCTTCGCCGCCAGGTACCGCAATACTTACGCAGTAGTACCTACCTTACTCCGTACCTACATACTTGGAGAAACTTGAGAAGGAGTAGGTACCTTCCCGCCTCTCTCTTCCCTCGAGCTGTAAGCCTGTGATCCAATCAGCAAGGCTAATTGGAGTCTGCTGCCTACCCGAAACGGCTTAGCCCGGTTTCTGTTTGGTAATAGTTCGCCATTTGTGCTGCGGGTGAAGTCATCATCGTGATCCAACTCGTAGTAGACACTGGACGAGAAGCCACGGGAGCTTCGTTCGAAAGGGCGAGAGCTGCAAGGATGCATGTCGACGTGCTTCCCCTGGAGGCCCTGGAGGGTGGAAAATATGCAAAATTTCCTTCACAACGTCTCCCGTCTTTTGCGAGTCACCTGCCCGGTCAAGGGGGGTGTGTGTGTACATGGAAGAAGGGACTTGGATAGACGTACTCTTGTAGAAGGGAATTAGAAGAGAGAAAAAAGTTCGACTGGGAAAAGAATGGCCGGCATTGATTTCTTGCAGTCAGAAGAGCATTCGTCGCCGTCGTCGTCGTTGTTGTCAAGTCATCAAGTACCTGTGAGTATAAAGCTTTGAGCCGGGCCTCTTGGATCGTGAGTTTCTCAGTTCCTGATCGACTTTGCTTTTTCCTCATCCTCATCTTCATCCTCGTCTCCTCCTCCCCCTTTCAAGAGCCTCAACTAAAGCTCGAGGTTAGACAACTTCACCCAACAAGCAGCATTTACCCGCTTGCTGTTACTCTTTGCCTACATCCCTCCCTCACGCTCTGGCTTCGTTCCTACTGGCCAAATAAGACCTGCCTTATCTCTCAATCTCTGAGCCACCACAAAGGTAAACAACATACACACGCAGCTCTCCCGTCATTCTCTTCACCAATCCCAAATTGCGTCCCTCACCGTGTCCGCCTATGGGCTCCCTATCTCGCGTCAGCCACACACCTGTAGTACACAGCCCAGCCAACAGCCGTCAGCCAGCTCTCTCAGCAACCGGCCCGGCGGCGTGGTGTTCTGTTGTGTCTCCCCCAATTGCTGCCCTCTTGCTTGTGCCTTTCAAATTTCCACCACCCCAGGCCCGTTCACAGCCCTGTGGCCACGGCTGCTACGACCTTGTCCGCCCGCCTTGCTGCTATTTTCAGCTGAAGGCAGCAAAAAACGAGTCGATACGGGAGCGCTAACTCTCACTCAGTTCAGGGTCCCTTATCTCTCTCAGAAACCCGCCCCTCGGTGTTGCCACATCCACATCTCACCAAGTCACAGACTGAATTTCTGGTATCTTTGCTGAACCAGGATCTGGATCTGACGAGACAACTTCTCTCACTCTGAATTGCCATCACTTCCTTCTCGAATCCAGCGAGAAAGATTCCAGGCCCCTCTTGGCCGCAGGTCGCAACCCCACCGGCATTCCAACCAAGGCCAGAACCTCTGACCCAGACGTAACCGATCGACCCAAACCCGGTCCTCGATTTCACTTCTTCACCCCCTGGGGCTTGAGCAAAACTCACCAAAAAGGTACCAGCTACCAGCGAATTGACCCCAAGCCGGTCGGATGGCTGTGTTGCCCGGGATTCCCATCATCCACCTTTACGTCAATTGACGCATTCTCCATCACCCTCTTCTTCTCTCTCACTCTCGGGGTTGTAACAAACACAAGAGAAGAAAAAAGGTACATTGCTCCCCCCGTACCTGAAAAGCTGAATAAGATTTGCCCTGGCCTTCCATATTACAACAAGTCATGGGCAATAGCTTCCACAATTCCAATACGGGACGTCCTGCTGACCACTAGTCGCGCTTACAAGGAAACTCCCTCTCGCTCTGCCCGCGGTTGCTTTCCTCTTTACACAGGAAAACACGTATATATCGGCCTCTTCTAGGTTTTGAGATACTTCGTCCTCGAACCTTTCCTGCCACGCCCACGCCCCCCTTCTTATCATCCGCTGCCTCCTTTCGTCCCGTCTTCATCTGTCAAAAACAGCCTGTTCTTGCCATTGGCTTGTGAGACAACCCACGGCTCCTCTATCACTCACCATCACCACCACCACCACAACCGTCAACAACAAAGCTCAGGCCAAGCACCTTACCGTCAAAGTGCCCCGCCGGATCACCTCTCCGAGACTTTGACATCAGTCACTCACCTCGGCTTCACCTACACTAGATTCCACGTCCTACATAACAAACACCACGCCCCGCGTATCGATATCTGCACTCCTCCCCGGAACCAGACATCGTGTCTCTCATCCTCTATCTTTTCCCTATACCCCTATACCGACCAACCGACCAACAGTCGGCAAGAAGCAGCTATCCGAGCCCATTGTTAGCTCTGCATCTGCTTTCCTACCTGATCCCGTATATCTGAATCGGATCAGCATCGCGCTAGTCTACCGAAGACGCAAGGTACGCCCGCCCGAGTTCACCTCCCCCAACTCCAAATTCCCATGCCCTTTCACCTCTCGTTGGCTCCCCCTGCCCATCCCTTATCAGTCCACCCATTGCACGAGCCTACGGCGGTGAAGCTTCAATGCTCCCGTTGCTCTCTCGATTCCTACCTTTGCGCGCGATCCCATTTCCACAACACAGCACTTCTGTTATACCTTGCGGGCCCTGTCCAATTCCCAGACCGCATTGTCCAGAGCAAGAAAGCCTGCTCTAGATCCCCACGATCCATTGACGGTCCCGGTCGTCGCAATCAAACGTAACGGGCGCTCGACAAAGCTGTCCTGCCAGCAGTCTGACATTGACTCACAATCATCATGTAACTTTTCCTGGTTGCTGCGATGCCTCGTTGTCCCCGTCAACATACTTAGAAGACCCTGGGGACGCCCATCCTGACACTCGTCTTCCTCTCCCTCTTCACCACAAACCG